CCCTAAACCCTAAACCCTGGTTACTATGCCCACCTGGAACCTCCATGGGCTGCTCGCCCTCAGTATCCATCCTGACTGACCGAAGCCCATTGTTCGCCGGGTCTCAATCAACTCGAGTTCACGGTTCAGCTTCAGACCCTGTGCCAGGTTGAAGCTTGCAATTCTTAGTCAATTTTGGGAGGGTGGAACCACTTCGGAGATGTTCTGTCGCTTGTGAACTGGTCACTCGATTCTGGGTTTTTCGAGCTCTAAACAAACCACGCGCATAATTTGGGCTTTTAGGGTTTGCAGCGCTTGGTGTGGATTATGGGATCTACAGAGTTCACTGGGCCGGCGCTCCAGGTTTTTTCTCACTTGCTTCCTCTTTCCTTGAGAGGCTGAGGGTGGTAGCTAGAGTCCTGACCTCTTCACCTTTTTGCGGCCCTAAACCCTAAACCCTCTGGTAAGAACAGTGCTTCTGTCTGGGAGAGGCACACTAAATCGTAAGCCCTCTATCCCCCCCCCGTATAGGCCCTAAGATGCGGAGTCTCCACGGCTTCTGAACTCCAGAACCTTTCCGGAAAAACCAGGCATTTCTTGGTGCGCCGTGCGACCCCTTCTGGGTAACTTGGCTTGATCAGGACCCTAAACCCTAGGCCCTGAACCCTAAACCCTAGCTCATGTTACCTTGAACCCCAAGCCGGCCCCCAAAGGAGACTATAGGGGCCTAAATAATTATCAATATGACTGTTAGGGTTCCTATAGATATGCTACGAAGGAGCCCAAAACCCTATTCTAAAAATTAAGGCCCCCAACGAAAATAGTGACATCAGGTTTAGGCTTTGGCTGATGGGTTGGGCGTCATTCTCGAGAGACAAACCCTAAACCCTAAACCGTATAAACCCTAAGCCCTAAACCCTGAGCCCTAAACCTAAACAGCCCTAAACCTAAACAACCCTAAACCCGAACCCCTAAGCCCTAAACCCTAAACCCTAAACCCCAAACCTAAACAACCTAAACCCTAAGCCCTAAACCTTAAACCCTAAGCCCTTAGCCCTAAACCCCAAGCCCTAAGCCCTAAACCCTAAACCCTTCTCCCTAGAGCAGCCGTAAGCCTCAGCAATGGAGCCGGGACTCTAACATCAGAGCCGGGACCCTTGTAATATAGGGTCTCCTTAAAAAAGGTTTAGGGTTTAGGGCTTTAGGTTTTTAGAGTTTAGGGTTTTGGGGCTCTAGGGTTTTAGGGTTTTCGGGTGCTTTTAGGGGTCTACTGTAGGGGCCTTAATGATTGCCTATACCATATCTGGGGGCTCCTTCTTAAATTTTTAGTGTAATATACCCCAAAGCCCTGTTCTAATCATGAAGGCCTCTATATTATCCTGATAATTCGGGCCCTCGAATGGAGCCCATCCACGTACAATCCCGAAGTCCTTACGCCTAAAGTCTACCCTAAATCTTAGGTAACCCTTCATCCTCGGACATACCCGAATCCTGATATAGAAGGTGAGCCTTAGATCAAAACCCTGAAACCTTAACCTCCGTCTAAACCTTCACCCTAAGCCCGAAAGCTCAAGTCCTAGACGCTAAATTGCAGACTCTGCTCGTAGTAGACCTAAAAGCATGTCGTACTGTCAAGAACGCTTGCAAAGCCGTTTCACACTTTCTTTAGGACCGCGCAAGCTTGCTTTAACGACCATCGTGCCACCAAGAGCGTAAAGCCACAAAGCCGAGACGTCCAGAGCCTGAACTGGAACGGAAGGCAACTGGGTAGACTGGCAGGGCCGGCGGTCGGATTTGCAGACGGGGTGACCAATCGACAGCCCAAGACCAGTAGGCCGAGAACCCCAAAATCACAAGAAAAGACCTCGAGTACAGCCTCAGTTGTCGCCATCCCTGTGACTCTTGCAAGTTGTGTATATGGATCGAACCGAAAACCAAAAAACATACACAGAAAAAACAAAAAATAACTTGGACCCCGTTCGAAGACTCAAACAACTGCTTCGCTTCATTCTTGTCTCTCTGGCTCTGGCTGGCTATCTCTGTCTGACTCTCTCCCTCTCTCTCTCTCGCTCGGTCTATCTTTCTCTTTCTCCCCCTCTCTGTCTCTCTGTGTGTGCAGAGATATATATATATATATGTACAGAAATGTATGTACATATATATATATATTAAAATATACGTATATATAACCTTATTTATATCTTATTTATTATATAAACTGTATGCCTGTATGCATGTTTAATGCCCGCATTTATCAGCATGCATGCATGCATACATACATACATACATAGATCCCCGCATCCCAGTGAGTGCTATACGCCAGGTCTACTTGTAGTCATTGGTAGAGATGGGTTTCATGGGTTTCAAGTTGCCGAAACCCTAAACTACAGCAAGGCATTCCGATGCTTCTGGCCTGCGTGGCTGCCCTTTGCATGGCCTTGAAGCCCCCTCCTGAGCTTGCTTGTGCATTGGGGTGTAGGGATTTGGGCTAGTGTAGGAATGAGTCTATAATTTCAGGCTGACAGTATCTGCACCCTCCAGTGTAATTCCTTTTCGGTTGCCAGGTTTCTCTCTGATGGGCTCTAACTATAAAGCTGGCCGAACTACATTGGAGAGTGTAGGGAAGAAAGACGTCGGACACATCAGTAGCAATAGTATTCAATAGTACCGCTCCAACACCCGGGTCCCAATATCAATCCCAATATAGAATGTATAGGGACCCTTTAACACAAAGCTTGATCTTGTTCAGTGCAGGCCTCCCCAATCTGCTTGAAGCCTCAGAGGATCCACAAAGCCAGAGTCCTTGCACATAAACGCACTATCTGGACACTACCGTAATATTATCAGGACACAGTTTAGCAGGGGTATGTTTCAGGGGGTTTGGGTCTGGATTGCACCTACAGGCCTCCACCTCATACAGCCTGTCTATTTCCCAACATCTTCTGGTTGAGGAATGCTGTAAATTTGTAGTTGGGATCCTTCTGCAGACCTTGAAGGAACCTGAAAAAAAAGCAGAACTGCCGTACCCTTGTAGATACAAAGCCCTTAAAGGAACCCAGACTGTGGCACCTTTGAAGGAACCTTAGGAACCGCCGCAGGAACCTGATAGCGTCTGGCATGGTTATGGAACCGTTGAGGGAACCCTTGCTCACTATAGTACGCTTGAAGGAGCCTTGAAGCCCTAAGGGAAAGGGTGTTCAATCAAAAGCCGTACTGCCTACTCCCTAAACCCCTAAACCCCTAAACCCCTAAACCCCTAAACCCTAAACCCCTGAACCCCTCAAACCCTTGAACCCCTGTATACACCCCTAAACCGCCGAACAACCCGTAAACCCTTAAACCCCAAAACCCTAAACCCCTAAACCCCTAAAGCCCTAAACCCCTAAACCCTGGAACCCCAAAAAGCTCTTTAAACCCTTAAGAGCCCTAAGGTCTTTGTTCCGCATGGCTGAGCAGGGCAAGGGGAAGAGGAAGGTCGCCTGAGCGCGCCGAAGGGGCGCTTGGCATCCGATATGCAGCCTCACGTAGTGTAGGGGCCTTGATAATCAGAATAAGGTTGGGGGCATATTCTACTATAAGTATAATATGAAACTGTAGGGTTCAGGAGTTGGGGTTTGGGGTTTCGGGTTTAGGAGTTGTGGCTGAGGCTGTGGCGTTCAGGGTTTACGTTCAGGGGTTTGAGGTGTTTAGTCTAAGTTTAAGATGCCACGGATTCGTTTAATTGCCAGCGCGTCGTCGTAGCCCGATGACACACCGCCGGCTGTGGTGCGTGCTGCTAATGGAGCATCGCACAGGGCAGCATGCAGGCAGCAAAAGAGCGCACACATGTGTGGTGAAGGAAACCCAAAGCTTTCAAAGCCTGAACCACACAGCATTTGGACTGCTGAACATGGACTCTTCTGCACTTATGCCTGTGCTCGGGCATGTACGAGTTTCTGCATACCGTGTCACTTCTTTGTTCCCATAGGTCTGCCCATTAATAGGATTCCGGGTCTAATTGCTACCGCCACGGCGTTACTAAATGCTGGTTACTAGTATTACTCGTAGTAAAAACAGTGGTAGTATGGTTAGTACATAAGCTCCAGCACCAGGTGGCACCGCACTGGCACTTGCGCTGGCACTGGGACCAGCACCAGCACTTGCACTACTCCTGCCTAGCTAGCGAGCTAGGTAGCTATCCATCTAACTATCTTGCTTTTGGAGTGGCCGCCCGCCCGCACTTTGAATAGAGATGTCTGAAAACTGGCAACCGTACCTCGATGTAGCCCTTAGCCCCCATCTTCTTCTATATATATATATATATACACATACATACATGCGTACGTACGTATATACGTACGTACTTGCAGTATGGTATATCCCAAAGCCGGCTTTTGAATAGGAACCCGAAGGGTCTGAAGGACCCAATAATCAGGTACTTAGGTTTCGGATAGTAGTTATGTAGGTTACTATTTGAGAGAGTATATGATTATTAGGTACTTGGGCCATTAGGGGGAAGCTCAAAAGACTTGTGGGCAACTCTCGGCTGCGGCAGGTGCACTGCAGCAAACCCTCGCAGGGAAGTCAGAAGAGGTGAATCCCGGCATCGGGGTTTAGGGTTTACTGTAGGGATCTTCAGGGCTTAGTGTAGGAATCTTGTGGGTTTAGTGTAGGGTTTCTTAGGGTTTAGGGGTTGGAACCCGGACTTAGGGCTTCGTGTGTGGATCTGAATAGCTGTAGTACTGGTGCTCCTCTGGGGTTCAGGACTTTAGTAGTTTATGGCCAGCTAAGCACACATCTACCTACATAGCTTCCTGGCTTAAGAGTCGGATCTAGGGGTGTTCGGCTTGGGATAACATCTGTCAAGGTGCCTTCATTTGTGTTATTTCCAAGTTATTTAGAAGCCAAACATCTACTTACTAAGTTCCGTGAGACTCCGAGTAATGCCTGGAACCCTGACGGAGCCTTGGTGTAGGATCCACACAGCTGATGGACAAAAGCATGCAAAGTATCAATAATAATCACAATTATAATAGTCGTAGTAGTACGCATCAGTAATAGTAACAACAATACTCATAGCAATAGTATATTGATAACCGTAATGGCTTTTACTACTCAGAATACCAAACATAACAAACAGAATAGATGTACCAGTATTACTCATCATAGTATCAAATGTAATAAAGAGAAAAATAGAAAATACGTTTAATCATAAAAAATTTGCTTATTGCTACTAATACCATCACTAGTATTACTTCGCATGGTGCCAACAATACTAATCATAAGAAGAATATTAAGAATAATCCCTATACAATAGTTGAGTAATCGCAATCATGATAGCAGTAATGATGACAATAATAAGAATACAGAAGGAGACAACCTAGGTTTTCAGAGTTCGGCGTACTTCGGGTGATGGAGGTTTTTGTCCATCAGCAGTACCCTAAATCCTAAACCCTAAACCCTACTTCCGCCAAGAGGCCCGAAGATCCGGAGTTCGGAAGCCTCTACATAACAAATCGATCAACTCCTTTTTGAAGCAAGAACCCTTTAAGGGAACCCTTACAGAAAACCCTTCAAATCGACTTCTATGTTACGATGTTATGAAGCCCCAAACCCTACACCCTGTGCAGGAGCTGGGCCTTAG